CCAGGAGAGCAGGGGGTGTTCTCGTTTTTCTCCGTGTGAGATCTTCCCTACCACACTTCAACCACTCCGGCCTGCCTGGGGAGAGCATGGATTTAGTTATGTCTGCCTGATAAGGATTGCCTCCGAGGCAAGGAACTCTGGTGGATTTTGTGACATTCCCGTTATTGTGGAAATGTGAGAATAGAACAGAGCAAGAAAATGGGGTCGGAGGCAGTGCCTTCCTCTAGGTCTGATGTTTCCACCTCTCGGGCTTTTGCTGTAGGTTCAGGGACCCGTTATAGTAGAGGATACCTGCTTGTGCTTCAACGCCCTGGGGGGGCTTCCAGGACCGTACATGTAAGTAGCTGGGCACTTGCTTCACCTTCCATGTCTGAGAGTTAGGAGTGCACGCTGGCAGGACGTGCTCTGTGGGGGATTGTTCACACACCGGGAGCAACAGGGTCAGGGAGGTGGTTACTGGTGTGTGTCCTCGGCTTCATCCTGCGCCCCAGGGGCTGGCCTTGAACTCCTCGAGCTGCGCTGTAAGTCGCGGTGTGGGACGGGAGAGGCAGACCTGAATTATTGGCTCTGGCTGACGATCTGCGGTGCCTTCTCTTGCAGCCAGCTTGGGAACCTGGCCCCGCAGCGGGCTCCGCATAGTTAAGGCACTGTGTCTTTCCACAGGATTCTGGGATGAGAGTCCTATAAGTTCTGATACAGACTGCTTTAATCCAGCAGATAACAAGATTATTACATTACAGTGTAACTCCCCTAATAAAATACTGCCTTAGCTCCTGGAATTAACTCTTAGTCCGATTAATTCTTCCAGGCTATCTCTGCTGAGCTAAGCAGAGACATATGTGAAGCTGGTGCTAGAACTGGGTGTAAGATGTGAACAAGTTGAGCTGAGCAATGCATTTTGGCATGTCAGTGCTCACGAGTGAGAAGTGGTTTTCTACGCAGACCCAAGTACTGCAGTGAATTAAATACCCCGCTGCTGTTGTCACTGTGTCCCATGCAGTTTAAGAGCTAAGTCTGTCGTTATTGGTAAATAGCCCAGAATGAGGTGATATCACAGCACATTCAAGAAGGATTCAAAGAGCTATGAAAATATAGGCAACAACGTCTCAAGGGTGGCTGTATTTCTGAGAAATACTATAAAAAATTAATCTTTCCTCTCCCCCTTCAGAAAATGGTTCCTGGAAAAACTCAAACCAGAAGGTACTGCCTCCCGCGTTGCTGCTCTTGCACGTAACTCAGTCCTTTCCAAATGAGATGGGTCCCTGCCCGTGCTGGGCTCTGCTGAGCGTGCATGCCCACTGCCCTGCCCGTTACGTAGCTGGTTCCTTTCCTGTCTGTCCAGTGCTGTCCCTGCGCGTTCGCTCCTTGAGCCTGTTCTGTGCCTTTCTTCACGGGGTGTTGTTTCCCCCAGTAGCTTCAGCATCAACCCTGGCTTCCCAGACTCTTGCCTCTGCAGGCTTCCGGGAGCTTCTTGTCTGTCACCAGTGTGACCTGGAAGACCTGCTGCTCCTTTGGCTTCCGTGCAAGCCCCTCTCCCCTAATGCTCACCTCCCTGGTGTGCCGTGACTGCCTTTGATCCCACCGTTAAGAGTGTGACTGTAAATCCCGCTCTGGTGTCACGAGCGTGAGCATTAATCATGCTAATTCAGAGTGGGCTTTAGTCCTCTCTGGTGCCGCATGCTCATTTGCTTCTGCTCCCAAATTAATAGCGGGGCCCTGGAGCTCATGCTGGGTTAGATCTGAGGTGCTGGCCTCAGTCGTACGAGGGACCCAGCCGAGCGCATCCATGTGCCTGAGCTTTGTCACCTCCTGTAGTTCTTCCTCTCCCGTGTGGATGTGATGCAGAATGCTCCCTCCATCCGTCTCTGCGTGGGTGTGTGGCACTCCAAGGGAAAGGGGGTAATGCCAGTGTCCTTTCTGTGTCACTCAGGCCTCTACAAGCTGCTGGCTGGGTTTGAAGACAAATCTGCCTATGCTCTCTGTACCTTTGCATTCAGCACTGGAAACCCGGAGGAGCCTGTGAAGTTGTTCAAAGGCCAGACTCACGTAGGTGTTGTGCCTGGGGAGGGGAACATGCTGAGGGAGGGGGGCTGTAATGTCAATCTCCTAACAGCGTTGGCTCTGTTGAGGACAATTTTAGCGGCTCCTGGGTCACCGAATGCCCTCGGAGCTTGCTGGGAGGAGGCTGAGGGAGGGGGTGGGTGGTGGGTGCTGAGTGCTGCAGCCGTTTTGCCAAGCGCTACGTACCGAACTCTGCGCCTCGGGCGCTTCGGCCCCCTCGTCTCCCTCTGGCAGGGTGGTATCGGAGTGCAGTTGTTAGCGCGGTTAATTGGGCTGGGGGGGGTAAAGGGGCTGTCAGAGCAGG